CATCTTATCTCACCATCCCAGTGATGGGAATTCAGGCTCTTCTTAGTGATCCAGATCATTTGGCTCAGCATGATCCAGCTCCTTTAGCTCCAGCTTTTCATTGGCATCATTTATAAACAACAGCCGGCTCTACAGCTGACCAATTCCTACATGCTTACCGCCTTAGTATGCTGTCTGCTGTAAATTCAGGTAACATGAAAATGATGGCATTAAAGGAAACTGAATTCAGTGGAAGTTGAGGTTTTGATCTTTGAATGAAAATAAGATTTGTAGTTATTTTAACAAAGACATGAACTTTCATAAATGAAAGGATTTAATGGACCATGTGATCGCACGTCCTCTACCAGCAAACACAGGTCAAACAGCAGCAGTGTCTTTTAGTGAATCAGCTCCAAATGAAGCCTTAAACCCTGCAGAGCTGATATACAGCAGGAACTATCATCAGCCTGAGATATTAGAGAAGATCTGTGTTTAAGAGGAGCTGAACACATCGGGGATGTTAAGCCGTGCAGCTCCATTTATAGTCTCATTACTGAGACTGGGTCTCTGTTACACTCTCAGAAATGGCTCCCAGTCTTTCTACACTCACTGCGCGCTGAAGCGAGGAAGAGCTGCGACCGCCAGCGCCGAGGTGTGTCGACGGACGTGAACGACGACACTCTTCTCTCTCTCTCTCCCTGTGAAGTTTAGTTTCCACAGAGGCAGAAAAAGAGAGGGGCTTTAAGAGAGCTGAAGGAGCTCACTGAAGTCTGTTCAGGATTTCCAGGTCGCCTCCCGTACCACCACAGATCAGAGACAAGGCTCTGCTGCTAGAAGGGAACAGAGGGAAGAAAGGGGGGAGTCAGCTACCACAAATCAATATGAATAAAGCAGATGAATAGATTTCCAATGCGAAAAGTCCCACAGTAGCTCTGCTTATGACCTGCAGGGCTGTAATCCAAGGTGTCGGACATGGGAATGCACTCACAGGGCGAGGTGCCATGATCAAATCACAGCCCGGATGTCCTCCTCCCTTACTCCGCTCACATTCTTCAGAAACATCTCAAACAGCTATTTATCTCCATCTCCACCACTGACATGCCGTTTCTTCTTCTCTCCGTCGAGCGAGGATGTTTACCGCAATAACTCTCTTTGTTTACAGGGAAAACAAAATGGTTATTGTTCAATCAAACTACACAAACATTCCTCTGAGGATGCTGTACAACATCTCTCTCCAAGCTGCAGAAGACTTGAGTCGCACTTCTTCATCCACAACAAAAGCAGGAAATGCAACCAATGTGCCAATTAATGAAGAATTTCATCCATCGGAGATTTGTCAAAACAACAACTTTGTTGAGTTTTATGACAATTTAATGCAAAGTAGACAGTCACTGAGGATACAGACGACTATCGAAGAAGAAAATAACTTCAAACATTTTACCCTTGGACTCAAACCCTGAAGACTTAAGCCTGGCATGATAGCGACTCCACAGATGACGATAAATGATGACAGATTTAACAGATGTTAAAGATCTGCTCCTGTGCCGTTTGGCGTGAAACGATGTGGTGAGCAAACAGAGCACACACGTGAAGACTGTTTTTTACTGATGACTTGAAATCTCATAAGGTCTGCTGGTCAAACGTAATTTTAGAACAAACAAACATGGCAGACTACGGGAGCTGATAGTTGCTGCCTGGATCAAAGCAGAATTGTTTGAGTACAGCAAAACAACAGCAGGTCCGTGCCAGAAGTGTCAACAACTGCTGCTGGGCATTTTGGAGCAAGAAGATGGAGCATCGTACAGCGTTGTTTTTGTCGTACAAAAAGCGCACTCACGACTCACGAGTTTTACAAGTGACTTCTGAGAGAAACAAGCTTAAAGTCTTTTTTAACAACTTGGCAATTATAAGGCATCTACGTAAATTTTGCCGATGTTCAAACTTGTCTCTATTCACAAATGAATTCACAAATTAACAGATCTAGGATGTACGCACGTGCATCCAAACGGAAATAAAACAACGGCTAGGTTTTCAAAATAAAAGCAACACACTTGCATAGCATGTTGATGATTTGTTTGACAGACCTCACAAAGGATCAGGCAGGGACATCCATAGGGCTGGATGTGGCCCTTGGGCCGTAAAATGCCCAGGTCTGTTCTAGTCGTTGACAAAAATTCACAAAAAGGAAATAGTGCCCAGGTTGAAAGATACCAAAGTTCCCCTTTAAGAGTGGTGACAGTAAAGTCTTAAGTTGAAATAAGTTGCCGCAGGAGATAGATGGGAGTTTGTTGTTGTGAAAAGACAACTTTTTCCCAATATGGGCCCGATACGGCATCACAACTTCAGCAACAAAACTCACTTCAGCAACAACAGAAGCTCCTCTTCTGAGCTTGTTTTCCCCCTTTTATTAATAAACCATAAACTGTGAGCAGAGAGTACAGACTCCAGATAACTCAGCTACACACCACACATACCCTGTACTCTAACATGTTGTTCCAGTCGAATAGCATATGGAGCGGAGGGCTGACGAGCAGGTGGAGAAGTCAGGTGGAGAGGGCTGGCCAGGAGCAGAGCAGACATATGGAAAAGAGTCAACAGGGGATTGGATGGGGAAGAGGAGAAGGTATGATGGGGGAATCTGAGCTCAGAGGTGCCATGCTGGGAGAAAAAGTCTGGTTAGCACAGATTTCTTCTTTCTTTTTTTCTCCTGAGCTGAACAAGCAGCTCTGCAAGATGGAAATCAAATCAGTCATGTTTATTAAAAATCCATAGAGGAAATACAACAACAGATGATTTTTAAGCGTTAAGAGTAGGTTACAACCGCAACAAAAACACATGGCTGTTAAAATAGAAGTAAAAAAAATCAAGTCATTCTCATTCCAATCCTATTTCCGATCCCTAATTCAATAAAAATAAACATTACAATTATGCTGTAAGCAGACAAGACCGTCTGTGCTCTGCAAAGTCAATTCACTGTTTGGTTGAATTCATCATACAAGATACTCGAGATGATTTTGGGTTTGTGTCCCTTCTTTTAAGTAGAAGTCAGTAAAGGCTGTTTTTTTTTTTTCATGCCCTTAGGGTAAGCTTATCAGAATTCCCCATGGTGTGAGGGATTTTAAGAGTGGTTTTACTTCCCCACAATTTCCTTACCAATTTGATATCATACATTAAAAAAATCTATATTTACAATCTGATTTCCTGTCAGACTGTAAATGCCTTGCTAAAGGCATAGGCAATATGATACAGCCCAATATGATACAACTAAATGCAATGGAGTGTGTTAATACATATGTCAACTGATACAATAATGAAATTTGATATGATAAGCAATGGTAAGATCATAGACTGTATTTGGACAACTTGGTTCTGCCTTCCAAGAAGACGAAAAGCTTTCAGTATTTCCACATTTTTCTCCATTCCCTAAAACCAACATTGCGCAGTAGTGTTGTAAGCACTCCACTACTTGCGCAGTAGCATTGTACGCATTCGGCAGGAGAGTCGCCGTGATGACGCTTAGCTCAAACAACGTATCCCCCGGGTGAGCTATGCAATCTTCGTACGCCCAAAGGCTGTATCAAGTGTCAATCATCGAAAACATGAACCCCCTAATAACTTTTAAAAATGGAGCTGCACAGAAAAAAGAGGACTTGCGCACAAACCAGTCTTACAATAACTACATGTCAACATCACAAGCAGGGGGGAGAAAAATGTATGTTCTGTGTAATAAATTTCTAAAGTTTATCCACAGCCCCATAGGGATTGCTGGAGGAGGCGGGATTTATGACCTATACTGCAGCCCATCACCAGAGGGTGCTGTTCTCTGGGTGGCTTCACCCAGCAAGGAGGCAGACGGCGTCCTTTCTATATGCAGTCTATGGGTAAGTTACATTATTATCTATTACCTAATACAGCGTGACCGTGTGTTATGTTACGATATGATACAATATGATATCATATGATATGATCCAATACAGTAGGATACAATTTGATACTATACCATACAATGTTATACTCTCGAACACCTTGTGATACAATAAGCCAAAGTGATTCTAAACAATATGATACAATTTATTTTGTACAATTTGTTTTGAAACCACAGCAATAGTCCAGTATAAGTTACACAACCACAATCCAAAAAACAGGAACTATCCCTTTAATACTGTGCCAAACCACCTCGATGATAATCAAGTATAGCTATGCATGAATTAAACTTTTGATATTGTGTGTTTGTGTTCCCCTCTCCTGGCAGACAAAGGTGTACTGTCGATTTAATGCACCTGCACATGTGACATTTTATTATTGCTTGTCAAGACTGCGTCCCTCTGGTGTTATTAAAAAGGCTCTGGGAATATTTATCCCCTGGCAGGTAGAGGAGGCTGTCACAGGTGGGGTTGTTTAGGTTATGATTTAAAGGATCTTTAGTTTTATTCTCATTGACAGCTGACTGTGTAAATTAAAAAGATCTCAGCACAAAGAAAACCGAGCATGAAAAACAGGCAAGTGTCCTGCTGCATTAGGGAGAAGATTTACACCACCGCTGAAGGAACCTTGACCTTTTTGTTGACGTCCTCTGATTGGACCAGAGAGGTAATTAGACGAATGATGGATGTCTTGCTCTTTTATTATGTTGATTCATCCACTGAATCTCAAACTGTCTGTCAAGATTTCTTTTAACAACGCTCCATCAACGGCGCTATAAGCACTAATGATCTTTAGTAGGGGCATTAATCCACACCATTACAACACATTTCCGACATCCTGTTAAAGTCGTATTGTGATTTTCTTGTCACAGAATGTTAGAAACTGCAATATGACTTCTAAAGTCTTATTTAACATTAAAAGTAGATTTTAAGTTGTGTTATTATGTTTTTACAACCCCCCACTGAGCATTTTTTAGTCTAAATGAGATCTAATAGACGTCTAGATGTAGCCTAGACGACTGCTCTAAAATCAGGCTACCACACGTCTAAAAATGAAAGTTTTTTAGACGTCTAGATTTAGACCAAGTTTAGACTAGCTGTGCAAAATGGGTTAGAAATTTCGACGTCCAAATTGGACCTTTTTGAGACCTCGCTCTGATGTTTAGAATTTGGACGTCATCTGAAAACCAATCCAGATGTTGGCATACCGTGCAAAATGGATCCAAGATTTAGACGTCATTATTGGACCTCTATTAGACGTTGAAATGTCATCCACATTTGTACCTCATTTCGAAAATATACGTTAAATAGATGTCATTTCGACGTTGCATTAGGCAGCGGGAGCTTTACTGGTTGCAAATCTGGGTTACAGCTTCAAAATGCCACAAGTGTAACAAAGACTGGTCTGAAACTGCTAAGGTATATATAGCTGTCCACGTTTCCAAACATTCTTCTGGCATCTTGTTGACCTGAAGGAGAGTCCATTTTTAAGAACAAAGGACAACATATTTTAAGGCATTAGTTGAAAATGTAGAGAGCTCATATAGGGAAATACCACAGCACGACATATTCTGGGGGACTGACTTTTGTTAAAAATGTGTACAAGGTCCTTGTTGAGGATGGTCGTCAGGGGCCAGCGGCTCCAGGAATGTAACACCACAGTATTCAAGGTATTTGAGTGACACCGCTCCACCACCCTAAAGGATGACATGACTGGCTAAAGAGAAGACTCCGAACAAAAACCATCAAAGTCTGCTTTTATCAACAACACCCTGTCCCAGCTCTTATAGAATCATCAGGGTTTTACAGAATAACCTAAAAGTCCTCCACAAGGGAGGAATTATTTCTAAAGAAAGTGTCAGACTGAGTATAAAGGGCTGAATGTGGTTTTTCATTTGCTAACAGCCCGTCTTCAGGTGTCACCGACTGTCCGCAGTAATCCTGCTCATAACAGAAAGCACTGCATTCAATTTCCCATCCAGAGCGGCTCTGCAGCACAGAAACTCAATAACAGATGACAGTGTCCAGTTTCCAGTAGTGTGGAAAATGAAGGCTGCCTGTGGAAGTGAGAAAAATCCTCTGGCTGTCCCCTGAGCACACTGAGCTGGGCGGGGAGGGCAGTGTCACTGTGGCGCCTGATAGCCGCCGCCTCTGCATTTGCATAGCGACAGGTTCCTGTGTGGGTCTGCCTCTGTGTCTGTCTCCTCTGTGTCTGTCAGTCTGCGCCTGCCTTCTGGGACGGCAGGTCGAAGCCTCCCCCACAGCTGGACATGAGAAGATGGAGCTGACAGACGTGACCCCGCTGTTCCAGGAGGGAGGGATGTTTTTTCTTTTTTCTTCAGATTTCTGAAATGTCGCAAAGATGCATGGTCCTGCCAGCCGCTATGATTGAGAGCAGCGACCGTCTCTGCTTTTCTGTGTAAATGAGCTGAATTTATTTCCTAACCGCCTCAACTTCTGTGTGGTTTGAGTGATGCACGGGCGACTGACCCCCTGCATAAACTGTCAGAGGAGGAGGGGAGGAGGGCACGGTCAAGGTTAAACGCTGTCCTCCATCTCAGCTGCCAGAGGTCGTGTTACGTCTGGGTGGTTCAAGTTACCTTTGCCATGGTGTGATCAGAATCAAACTCAGCACAGAGGAGGGTACTAATGGGTCTTTATTTTAAGTACAGTGACACCACTCTCTTTTTTTTCTGTCATTAAGTTATGGGGGCATAGAGGCCAAATAAAAAGAGGCACTAAGAAGTTATTAATCACAACTAAGCATGGTCCTTTCAGAAAATGTTTAACACCTCTAGGAGACTCAACATTTCTTCTGTGAAGATGTTACACCTCATTCACAACCATTCTTGAGGAGAAATTTTCTCTTACAACTTTCAGAAATAGATAAATAAATTGTCCCATTCATATATCTTTTGCTTCTGCTGGTCTGAGTATTTCTGATTGAATGTTGTTTCCAGCTTTGGTCACATGAGCACAGAGCCGGCCCAAGGCATAAGCGAAGTAAGCGCCGCGGCCAGTAGGGAGCCCCAAGAGCAATATAAAATATATATGTTTTTGAATTTTTTTTTTTTTTTTTGCATGTACGAGTGATGCTTGCTATATGATCAAATATAAATTATTGCAAGAATAAAATAAAATAAAATAAAGTAAAAACATTTTAGTGCAGCTGCTAATGTAGGCCAATGTTTCTTATTGCCGATGTGTCAAATCTCCGCTATCGTTATGTGCCTTCTGCTGTGCAATATGCACTGAGCATCCAAAGCACAGGTAGTTGTGGGCAAAACAATTGCGAAAAATGACATATCCAGGTTTTTTTTGCTTGCTGAGAGATGTTTTATACTTTGTAATTGTATTGCAACATAACGGCAAATAAACACCTTTGTTCAAAAAAAAAAAAGAAAAAGGACATATCCTTCAGGAGCAAAGAAAAGAAAGAGGAAGAAGAGAAAAAACGCTGAGATAAAGGTATGTTTGCATGATCAACAATCAACATTATTACAGAAATAGAGGGCCCAAAAATCAAATTTCGCTTCGGGCCCCATTGAGACCTGAAAAACTAAAAATAACAAAGCTGCTGCATCACATCTGGACTGTTAAATAATCGTCTGATGATAAAGCTGACAGGAACATAACAGTGGATACACACTCCATCCATCTGCTTCTTCCACTTCTTCCAAGTCCAGAACTACCTCTCTGCTGGTTCCAGTTTGTCAGTCACATCCAGATCTGACAGCAGAGACGCTCAGTTCCAGTTTACTCCAAAACCCTCCCTGATGTCTAATTACTGTAGTCCCATTAACATACGGCTCTGTCAGGCTGATTCTCCACACAGCTGTTCTCCACACGGAGGAAAAGTCCAGCCTGGTTAGAAACAGAAACTGGATCTCTCTGCAGTTTTGAACAACACCTGGAAACACCTGGAAACACCTGTGACCTTCTGTTGGTCACATAGAAACTCAATTTCATTCTCTGGGCTGTAGGTGTGGTGGTCAGTTTAGAAGTAAGGTGATACATTTTAGAGAACTGAATTCATTACCAGGGGTGTGACAGTATCCAAATTATTTGTGATGACTTTTTGCAAAGTTTAAGATCATTTCAAATTAACTCAATTTTAAATCGAGATCTAAAGTTCCTCCAGATGACCTGCACACTCCCTGATCCGTTCTTTCTGCTTAGGTTATGGAACATAACTAAACTGGGAATCATTCCAGTCTTGTGAAGTTGAAGCTGATCAAAACTACTATATTTTATATCCTCTGGTTTCAATGATAGGAACAACAGAAATGAAGAGAAATGTAAACAGTGGTGTCATCTGTATATGGCTTATAATTTAGTTTGGGTCCAAGTACAGATCTTTGTGGCACACCTTATTTAAATCCTGAAACTGTGCCGTACTGTTTTCTGTTTCTGTGATAAGTATTTCAACCAGTTTCAGGACATAGATCTGATGCCATATGATCACATTTTAGAAAGAAGAATATCTTAATTCAGATTTTTTTTTTACCTTAATGAATAGTCTGACAGTTCATTGAGGGGATGCATTATCAAGGCAAATACAAAAAACACAATTATTTTTATTGCTTTTAAGAGCTGTCAGACTTCCACTTTTAGTAGAATTAGAATTAAACACTGTGGTATTAAAAACAAAAAGGCCTGAGCTCTTTCACCACCTTCATTTTTTCACAGGCCGCAGATCTAATAGGTCATTTTCATTCTGAATCATTGTGAAGTCATGAATTGGGATTATTATCTTTTATTATGAATGACCAAAATCATTCAGTTCATTTACATGTTGTTTAAAAGGATCAACTGATTGCATTAGTCTGACTGAAACTGGATTTTTAAAGCATGGCTGAAAACAGACTAAAGTGAGCTACTCGTGCAGTTTGGGGATAGATTTTCTCTGTCATGTATGCTCTTCTATTGGACTGAAACTGGCCTCAGTGTTCAGCATAAATATGTTGCAAAAGATGAAACTGTGGTATTGACTGATTAAAAGATCCAGAGCTGTAAAAGTGACGGTGTTTTCAACCGTAAGTCCTGGATGATATCATTAAAAGTGTCCCCATTACAGCATATAAGAAACTTCTGAATCTAAAGCAGACTCAGTTCAGTTGAGGATATGATCCTTGTCCTTTGATTGATGCATTAATCTGATATTTACCACAAACTTGAACGGATTCAGTGAGACTGAGGCTACAGGAGACGGACGTAGATAAAACAGTTTGATTCATCGTTTGATGCCCCAGGGGACGTTCTGTGATTAAATCACTGTCCTCGGTTTGAGGGGGAATAAATTCAACTCTTTCTGACACTCAAACATGAGGCAAAGACAGAATTAGGTTAAAAATAAAGAAATAAAACAATTTCAGTGACGTCAGGCAGCATCTGATTCATTTATAGGTCCTCAGACAGATAGATAACAGACATAGTCTTTTTTTAAATTCACATTCGAGCATCAAAATCAATGGTACACTTTACTCTCCAAGCTGTCAGTTCAGCCTCTGATACCAAAAACTGAATTAGCTCTTCTGAATGTTTTCACTTTGCCAGCATTTTCTGACCATAAAGAAATTCCTCTGGCATTAACACCACAAACACAGAGAGGCAGTCAGCACTCCGCCGCCTCTCTCTCCGTGTGCTGCTGCCAAACAGACCATCAGTTGTTGCAGCAGCTGCCGGGTGCCTTCGGACACTCCGACCTGCTCGCAAACTTCCTGTTAGAGATATTGCACGCCTCAGCTGGGGGACTGATGGGAAAGCACTTTGATTATCTCAGCCAGCAGAAGTGCAGAAACAGGAGGAGGGCTGTTTTTTTTTAAAGGGTTGTCTAACACTGTTCGAGCCAAAGATGCTGACACATTTCTCTAGTGGCAAGGAAACGTGTGGCATTCACCAGTTTTCCCATATTTAAAGGGAATATGTAAGACTGCAGATGGTGAATTTTTATATTTGGTATGAGAGAGACTCGTAAGAGGGAAAAAGCCTTTTTATGCACTCCTAAAGTCACCCAAACTTGGGATGATTGGTGGGCAGAGGTGAATGTCAGTAGTCAGGATAGTTAAGTCTGCCCCCTTGTTCTTTCATTTTAAAATAAATGCCATGGACGGGCCTTATTTGAGAGTCATAATGCAAACAAAACATAAAATACCCCCTCTGGTGCCCTTTGCATTAAAAATACATGAAAAACTTGCTTCAGTAGCCCAACTCTGAAAGGATTGTGTCACAGTTCAGGGTTAAACAAAAGAACTAAATGATAAAACAACAAAAAACTTTCTTCAAAAATTACAAGATGCAAAATCCAAAGAATCAAAAATCACTGGGTACACAAGCATGCACACACATTGATGTACAATGAGTCAACAAAGAAAGAGGGGAAAGCAGGGACTATATATACACACAGGGAAACGAGCAACGAGAGGCAGGTGAGGCAGTGTTGTGTTGTTCGAGAACGATTCGTTCAAAAGAACCAAATCTTTTAAGTGAATGTACTGAACCGAGTCACTTCCTTGAGTGATTAGTTCGTTTCTCACTTCAGTTGAGCTGAAGTGAGAAACAGCATTGCCAGGCTAGCAGCCGGCAAACGAGGGACCACATGCTCCGACGCCTTAATCACTTGGTGAACGAATCACGCATTGAACTACACTCTCTGGAATAACTTTTGTCAGACAAAACTAAATTTTTTCACTGCTAAATCGCCACCACAACAACTTGCATACAATAGGACACAGCATGTAACAAGTAGTGCATCCTAACATTGCAGTGGTTTGCGAGGGAACGGTGCATGTTCAGTGTGAATTCTTCTAAACGTCCAGTGAACGAATCACTCACTGACCTCAATTTACTGAGCAGACCTGGTAAATAGCACACCATAGGACAGTACACTTAAAACATCATGACTTATAAACAAGTTCATTTTTACAAACCTGTTTGTCAAAGCAACACAGACAAACACTCTTGTCTCCTGGTCCCAGAAACTATGAATTGAACTGAATCCTGAAACGTTCAGCTGTATCTAAATGATTTAGTGATTTGGTGAACGAATCTTTTGAACGAATCTTTTTAGTGAACTGATTCTAGTGATTTGGTACATCTCAAAGAACTGTCGTGCCCATCACAAAGGTGAGGCACTGAGACACAGGTGTAGACAATTATTGAGGAGGGAAAACTGAGGAAGTAAAACAAGACTGTACACAAAAGGACTAACTATTACAAAATAAAACAGGAAACACTGAAAACTGATCTAAAGAATAAAACACTGAAAACATGAGGGAAACAGGGTCAGACACAAACTGAAAACTCACAAGACTGGACTACAGGGGAACAGAAACACTAGAAAGCACTCAAATAAACAACACGAGGAGAAAACTAAATCAACTAAACATATCATGACAGACTGGACATGACAAAGTGTCCTCTGCTTGTCCTCTATAATGTAAAAAAAAGTGCAGTCTGAATGCCTCCATTGAAAAATGAAATGCCAAATAATAATCATCTTGACTTGTTTTAGACTTCTAGATATGTGTCTTGTTTGTGTATTTGCAGCATTTTCATCCTGATCATGAGCCTCATCAGTCAAGACCTGTTAAGCAAATTTTGAGAAAGATGTACGACCCCCATAAAAGGTCAAGACTAAACCTCAAATGTCTTCTGGTCCTGGGAACATCCCTGTACACGTCTGACTTGTTTCACTCCTTAGGGATGCATCTCTTCTCCTCTCCTTCTCTCCAAACTCAAGTGTCGTATTGGCAGGAATATTGCACAAACACTTGTAAAGCACTGAAATCTTCACATTTGGATCCCTCTCCCTCTGCCACCCCTCCTCTTCCCTTCCCCCTCCCTCCTTCTTCTGAAATAGCGCCGTAAACTGCAGGGTGTCTGCTGCCACTTGGGCATTTCATTCCTCAGACAATCAACACTTGACCAGATGGACACGAGGAGTGGCCGCTCTGCAGACTGCACACAAAACGCACCACAAAAAAATGATAGATTCAAAGCGGTGGTGTTTGTGTTTATGCGTCTTTTTTTATGCATTCAGAGAGGTACAGATGTACATAACACCATGCACAGCTTGTGATCATTAGTCTCACTGATGTGCAAAGAAAAGACAAAGGTGGAGGATTTCAGCTCACTCTCTCTTTCTTTGTAATTGACTGTATTGGAGTAAATAGATGTACCTCGCAGGAAATCTGCATCTCTCTCTCCTCTAGTGATAAATCATACCCATAAAGACTTTTTTTGTTACCGTCAGAAGCCGCAGAAATAAGAATTTGCGGTGTGAGGGTGTTATTTATTCCTGTGGCATTGTCAGTGTCTTTCCTTTCCACTGATCTCCAGCTGAAAAAGCTTTTCTTACAAGCCCCATTCAGGCAGAACAAAGCAGCGCACTAATCATTCAAAACCAGATCGCACTGCCTGTCCTCGGGGATCTGACAGGCTCAATGCGAAATCTGTTAAAAGAAATAGTTTTGGAGACTCCGCTAAAGGTCAAGTAGATGGATTAAGAGATAAAAGTCTGATGAGATAGAAAGTCAGCGACACAAAAGCCGCATACCTGAGATGGAGGCCTTGTCCACTCACAACCTTTTCTGAGACTCTCTTGAGGAAAGATAGTCGCCTAAATAATAGCGATTCAGCGTGACCTTAGCCAAAGTATCTGGATACTCTGAGTTTATCAGAGGAGAAGTTAGATAATCTCATAGGTCAGCTGATAAGACTTAAAACTGCGAGGAAGCCAAAGGATGTCGGAGGATAACAATGAGCCTCATTCATCAATTTCTACTAAAGTCTTTTAATTTTCTCTTAAAATGTCCCTGAGAAAACTCTGAAGCTGAGTCACGAGGCTGCAGAGCTTAAGGCGCTGCAGTTTACAAGCAGCGTCTCTGGTAACGGGTCAATACCACATGCGTGACAATTTGATACATTAGACCTACAACAAAGAGGAACTGCCTAAAGAGTGGAGCAATCCTGACTAACCTGGGAATTCCACTGGATCCAGAACGGCTCCGCTCCGAAAATGCAAGCATATAGTGCCCACCTGATCCGATCTGCTGCCGCCATCGTAGGAGAAGCCCTGGCGATATTGATAGTTCTCTTAAGACTGGACGAAATCTCAGGAGATCTCGCATGTTTCCCCTTGAGACGTTGAATGAGATTTGACAATTACTCTGTAACCGCATACAACTTCTGCTGCTGCTCATGCTGCGCTGCCCTAAATTGATGCGTAGTGCTCCGGCGTCCGGCAAAAATAGAAGCCTTGCGTATCTGATCTGGCCGCCAGAGCCAGACGGCGGACAGAAACATATTCTGTGGAATGACACACATTGAATGTGATGCTTGCCGATTTCATCCGCCTGCCATGCCATGCCGAAGTGGAGCGGAGCCGTTCCGGATCCTGTGGGTTTTGCCCATGACTGTCTCTACACACCAAGCGCGAGTAAAATCATTCGCGAATGAATTGCATGTTAAGTCAATGCAAAGATGAGATTAGATGTCATTCTACTTTGGCGGCGCGAATGATGCAAACTGGGCGGGAACTCAACTCAACATGAGCCGATATTCACTGTTATCTAAATTGCAGGACAAACCGACTGATCTGGTGTCGGTGCCCCAAATTACATGATACCCTACAAGAAACTGAAATAAAAAGGAGCTAGCCTGGAGGCAAGTGAGTGAGGACGTCAGATTACCTGGTAAGTTTTAAAAAACTTTTGTCTATCACTTGATCCCGCCTTTTAAATTGGCAGGGATTACCGTTGAAGTTACCGTTGACGAATGAAGCGAGTCAATAGTGTTCATTCATGCATCAAAATTCACGCAAATTAAGCAATTAAGTAGAAGATTTTACTTGCGCTTGTTGTGAGCGCCCCATAAGAGTGATAAGCTTCTATAATGTGTTCCCTTAAAATGACACAGCATTTTGACTGAAGGTGAATCGTACCTCACAGTCACATGATGCACGTCGGGTACATTCCTGCTTTTGGACAGCGTGCGTCATCACCCACTCAAAGCATGTTTGGAGCGTAGCAGCAGCATACTGCAACCATGGGCGGCTGGACTCAGTATACAGAAAGCAAAACACTCACAACAGGTTGCTTTGCCCTTTAGTGCTTTAGTTGGGCTAACCTCCCACACATGCAGGTTTAAAAAATTTGTATGATATTCAAAAAAGTCATTCGAAAATTTGCAGAAAGACTCAAACAGTCAAGACAGGAAATCAGATCTGAACCTTGACTCGATGCAACAAGTTGACACACTTTCTCTCAGGACAAACAGTCGCAGTGCTTCTGACCTGGGTAGCATGATCCCTTGCTGTCATCTATTGCATGATGGGTTATCCTCCACAATGACCCTTACAAATCATCGATATGTCTGCTTTATAAAAATTCTGCACCACCTGTTAGTTTTCCTCTGTCTGCTTCCTCCGTCTCCATCTCAGAACATTTATTAAAATGCAGAAAGCACTCCTATACTTACTTCGTGTGCACGTGCAAAAGTGTGTGTGCATGTGCCCGAATGTATGCGTACGTGCATGAATGTGTGTGCACATGCATGAGTGTGTGTTGGTGTGGGCACGTGTCCACGCTGCCCCTCAGCGTCTCCTGCTTCCTACTCTTGCTCTGCTAATGAATACTAGTGGAATGAGGAGCTCTAATGGAATTACACTTTAATGATGTTTGCTGTTTTTACGATGGTAATTAATTAGATCAGCGTAATCTCCTTCTCCCAAAAATCTGCCCACACCAAAACCATAAGTACTGAACGACGCGGCCCCGGGGCCCCCCAGCACATCATAAACAGCAGTAATGGTGCTCTCCCTGGATGAAGCTCTCTCTCGAAATGAAGGAGAGCAGACGCAGAGTATCCTCAACCTCCGAGATGTTCACAGACCAATTACCTGATGTCTCCATATGCATTTTAATTTGAACTCTCAGCTCGGAGCTCCAGACTCTGCCTGCTAACTGCATCCCAAAGCACCTCTTCAGTTTGAGTAGCACACACAAATCTACATTCAAATGAGCTTTTACTGTAGAATCAGGTTGTTGACTGTTAACAGCCGAGATCCTCACAGGAAAGAGAGGGAAATACAGGAAAGAGCACGTAAACAGAGAGGGGAAAGGTAACATTTGTTGAAGGTTAAGGAGGCTTGGGTGACAAAATTGTCCATCATGTTTCATCTCTATCGACTGTTACAAAGATAAACCAGACTTCAAGAGCAAATCAAGTATCTGATCTACACCTGGACCTTATTTTAGATGTCTTTATGGTATTTAATCAGGGTAAAAGGTACCAAAACTTTGAGAACTGCTGCAGCTTTTCTGCTGTTTATCTGCATCCGTGCAATCAAGTTGTCTCTTTAAATCTGTGATGGGTTTTTGTCTCTTTGCATCCTGTGATTGTAAAAAAAATTAAGCCAACACTCTGAAATTACCTGTGTTGGGCAAGTTACTTTAAATTAGTAACTTACCCTCTGAGCATTTTTTGGTCTAAAACAGGTCTAATAGAAGTCTAAATGTAGCCTAGACGGGTGGTCTCAAATCAGGCTACCACAGGTCTAAAAATGAACGTATCTTTAGACGTCTAAATTAGACCAGGTTTGGACCAAGTCTAAATTTGGGCTATATCTTTACTAGACTGTATTTTGCTCAACGACTATCATTATTATTTGGTTAAGTACTTGGAGATCAGTTATGCAACTCACAGTTGCTTTTTGAGGTAAACAGTTATCAAATAATGGGTTTAAGTGCAACTATATTCTGTCTAAAAATATACAGAATCTAGACGATTAAAATTAGGTCTAAAAAAAAACTGGACGTCTGATAGCCGTCTATTGCTCAGTGGGTGGATAGCCAGGGAGGCTGCCAGTCTGCTGGCTTCTTACATACCTTCAGGGTCTTTTTCAACTAGCTTGGTAGATGCCTGTTGTTTCTGAAGATGTTTCATCAGATTAGAATTGCTAGAATTGCCGTCAGAAAGGAAAAATAATGTGCATATTTCCACGAGGGAAGTCCCATGCCTAGACTGTTGCCGACTGCTGCCATTGTTGTTCTGAGTTATGGACGTGAAGTAACGAGTAATGAGCCTTTTTAAAAAGCAGCAATGATAAAGCCATTACTGATTTTGACAAAGTAATTAGTTACAGTACTTGTTACCGCAAAAAGAACGTATTTACTGTTACATGTTACCTAATAACGCTTCAGTCCCAACACTGGAAATGACTGCTCGGCCCATAAGCCTGAGCTCAGTTTGCTCTTTCAGTAAATCATATCAACGTCTATAGGGCATACAGCTTTTAGAAAATTGTAAGAAATATAAAGTCCAATAAAATCTTTGTCCAGATGCAGTGAAGCTTCCAGTAGCACTGAATAAATACACTGACTGAGCTCAAATTTGCACTGGAGGTAATCTATTGACATTAAGAATCTATACATCTATCATATTTGATTTGCTGGGACTCTAAAGCGAACATTTAAAAACTGTTAAAGTCTCCCATAGTCCCTGTGGAGAATCTCAGTGATTTTTAATGGGTTAAGATGATTAAGATATGGACTGTGAGAGGCAGCTCCACTCCTAAATGTCTCTTTTTTTATCGGCCTGTGTTATTCTGTTTTTAGAAACACTCTCCAGATAAATTTGTCTTGCTTTGAATGTTCAGTTCATCAGATAAAGAACAATAAATGTGATAAAAGGATTGACACGGCGTCTCTCTTGGCACTGAAACAGATAGCGACCGCAGCCGTCCACACAGCCCTGAATACATATGCATACTGATTCATGCTCTCCTGTTTTCAATTTGCATTTACAATGCAGCCGTCGAGTAGATGGTCACCTAGTGAAGTGAAATATCCGCCCCTCCTTCATGCCATTGACATTGGGAGCGGTGCGCCAAGGCAAGTGGAAACAAACACAGCAAATGAGTCAGTCACATGGTGAGAACGACCTTGCTTTATGACTTAAGTGCTTCCCGCCTTCCCCTGTCTGATCTGTCACTCCCATCTATCAATCTAATGACATGGCGAAGGGCCAGGTTCATCAGGCTCCATTACTCTGCTCTCATTGGACGCTGACAGTGATGCAGCTGCAGCCGGTCTAAGACTGGACCGGCCTTAGGGTCAAGATGTTAGACAGCTGTTAAAAGAATGAGCAATGTTCAGGATTGTTATCAGCTCACAGTTGAAAACCAGCACCCCTGGTATGGGGATCATAAGTGCCCATGGCATTATTAAAGCTGAACAATACAGGTTCTGGAGCAACACATGAAGACATTCATATTTCAGCAAGACAAGGCCAACCAACAGTATGGCTCTGTAGTAGAAGAGTCCTGCTGCGAAACTGGTCTGATATGTCATCCGTTTAAAACATTTGGAGCATCATGGAAAATTGAGAAAGGACACCCTGAACTGTTGAGCAGCTTAAAGGGATATTCCGGCATAAAATTAATTTAGGGTCAAACACACCGTAACACAGAGTTAGACACCCCCTCGAGAGATGAATGTTGCCGACCGCTTGCTTCTCTAGTTATACCAACTTCAGTAATGACCACATGATAGCAATACACAGCAGTCTGAGGAGCCATAAACAATCCTCAACCAAAACGCCACTCTATAGCCACAAATAATGCTCAGAACAGCACCTAACTTCATCAACAGGACATATAGGGTCCTAGCCACCAAACATCTTTTTAGCTTTGCCTGATTTCTTTAGCAAAGAGACTAAACAAAGCTCACCTACTCTGTTCCAGCAGCCACTTGTTTGTAGCGAGACCTCGGGCCAGTCCATTACGGACTACAGCGGGGTGACGCAGCTCAAGGAAGAACATTTATGATCATTTCTTCATGGAAATAAGATCAGACCGAGACGCTAAGGCAGAAGAACTACCACGTCTGCAGTGCAAATTGATTAATATGATGATTATTACTTCAAGGAAATGACAAAGCAATGATAATAAATGTTCTTCCTTGAGCTGTGACACCCCACAGCAGTCCGTAATGGACTGGCCTGAGGTCTCGCTACAAACAAGCGGCTGCTGGAAGAAAGTAGGTGAGTTGCATTAGTGTCTTTGCTGAAGAAATTAGGCAAAGTTAAAAAGATGTTTGGTGGCCAGTGTTGTGGCTGGGACTCTATATGTACTGTTGATGAAGTTAGCTGCTGTTCTGAGCATTATTTGTGGCTATAGAGTGGTGTTTTGGTTGAGGTTTGTTTATGGCTCCTCAGACTGCTGTGTATTGCTATCCTGCGGTTGTTACTCAAGTTGGTAAAACTAGAGAAGCAAGCAGTCTGCAACATTCATCTCTCAAGGGGATGTGTAACTCGGTGTTACGGTGTGTTTGACCCTAGATTAATTTTACGCCAGAATATCCCTTTAAATCCCGAGACAACATTGGGACAACATTTCACCTTCCAAACTCGAGATACAAACACCTCTCTGTCCTCATCCTCTTTGTTCTCCTCCTGTTGTCTCTGGACACCCCGGCCTCATTAGTTAACTGGTGACCCTCCTAATTTGAGTTTTGCCGCTATAGAGTCTGCCAGCAGAGAGCACCCCGAGGCCCCGATCAGCCGCTCGCATCATTAGTGAGAGACTCCTGCCTTCCTGCTCGTTCACATCCAAACATCCCTGCCTCTGTCCTGAAGGAAGGAAAGACAACAGGAGCAGAAGGTCCGATAAATATTACATCTCACTGCAGGCCTACCTCAAAACCAGCAGCATGTCACGCCGTAAACACTGGTGGCAGTTAGCAGATGTTAGTACATCTTTAAAGCGTCAGACGCAAACTCATTTATATTGAATATGTATTAATCAAGTAGCACTTCACTGTGGCTACAACACAAGTCCCATTTTAAGTAGTAAACTGGGTTTTGTTTGTGTTTAGTGATTAATATAAGTGCAGCTCTGTTGCTGTATTCCTCAGGCGAGTCTTTGCATATCAAATTTAATCTAATAAGTCTTTTCTTCTTTTCATACATGAGAATAAAGTATGAAGGGCTCAAACTTGGAGTAGCGTGTTAGGGTGTTAAATCTTTCAGCCAACAAGTTAAAGTTTCATGTGTGTTTCTAAGTTTTCAAAGCTGCAGATTTGTCCATGTTTGAGGAGAAAAACATACTCAAAAAAAGTTTTTTCTTGGCCTTGAAACTAAGTACCCGTCTATGTTTTTACAGTTTAAAATGATGATGCATTTTGTTGAAGAAATGTCAGAGCTTTAAGATGATGGAT